TGCGGAGGCTTAAAATAGTCCAACAAATTTACAACACATTTCTACAGAGAATACGAGCATTAGGTGGACAAATCAAATTCATATCATCTGAAGTTCAGTGACCGTTGCAGAACCCGATAAAAATTTTATGAATCCGTTACACCACCATCCAAAAAATTTTTGTCCATTTACGCCAATAATTTGATTTTTTTTCTAAACCATTCTATATACCTATACTTATATGATATGAAATTATTTTTTAGTAGAAAAGATCAATGGATCTAAAGTTATTTATAAGGCACTTCCCTTGCACGTGAAGTCAAGCTACTTTCATGTTTTCTTAACGTTTGACCCCTGGAGTATGAAAAAATAAATGGACTGTTTCTCTCTGTCCGATTGTTGTCAAATTTAAATGTATGGTAGGAGCATAGTGTAGATTGTACAACACTAACTGAAATTTGTCCAGTCATCCCACTAACAATTTGATAACGTCACCTCAAAATTTTAAGTACTAAATACCATTTAAATTTTATAAAATAACATACTCCTGTACTTGTTTATGAATCCGTCTAGATTTTTTATTGAAGAAGGTGAATTTGTTGGACTGCATTTCAAGGACGAAGAAAGTTCTGTCTAAGTGAGCTTAGACCAGTATTTTGTTTTGCTTTCTGCAGTAATGAATATATCAAACATATTGAGTAGCAATAGACTGAATATATTGGACAATTTTATTTCGTCGTTTGTCGCTCTAAATTGAACAAATCAGTAAACAAATTTTATTTTTTAATCATAAACCCAATAAGTTAAAATATAAATATGGTGGACTATTAAAGTACAAATTTGTGATAACATCATCAACATTTTATCAAAGACACGTAGATCAATTTGAATAAATTCAGTGTAACACTAATAACAGCAGTTCTGTATACTCACATTTTCGGGAAAATAGGGTAAGCCATTCTTCATTTGATAAAAAAATTGTTCATCCATTAGTAATTCATTCATGGTTTTGTGTCACCCTGTATATTAAAAACCACACATCCATTGATAAACCACATGTAAAGAGTTATTATGTTTTGCGTATTTTAGATCGGAATTATTCAGCAAAATTTTGATATGACGTCAACAATTTTTTGGGAAGGGGTAAACGGATACATTTTGATTAGGTATTCACCATGCTTACGACAACCGTAGTATGTTCGCAAGATTTCAGAGCATTCGATTTTGCAATTTCAAAGTTACATTGTAAAAAATTGTAGTGACCTGACCTGACTTGACTTGACCTGAAATTTTATTACTCAATGTTAATTTTTTTTTCAAAAAACTGATGTCTAGGGTAAAAAGTCGACACGGATTCATAAAGCACAAGTGCAAAAAAACATATTTAAAATAACATGCATATATTTAAAATATATATTTCTATAATAATGCGGAGGTCAAGGACTGATTGGAAGTAATAAATTAATTCTAGGTTATGTTGCAGGATTGCAGTCAATAATAATCAGTCAAAAGTTACTCTACCTATTGTAACCCTATGTATTACAAAAAGAATGTTAAATTCCAATTAATAAGCTTCAAATTGGAAAAAGAAAGAATATAATTCAATTAATATTCGATTTCATTTTTTAATGTAGACTTTATTTATCTTCCCATAGTGATTTTACACACATAGACTGCAATCTACAATTTCAGACCTTATTTTTAATCGAATAGACCTGAATTTCCATCAAATTTTATTATATTGACCGTAAGCGATTCCTTACATATGGGTTTGTGGTCAAATATTGATTTTTTCACAATCACAGAATAATTCATCAAGGGTTATTCTAAAAACAATTAGACGAGTTGAGAACAATAGATTTGACATTATGAACTTGCTTTATTTTTCTATTAATGTTAGACTTTACCAAAAATACGTATATAACGATGTGCACATTTGTAAATATTTTTGGATTTATTTTTAAATCCTGCAAAACAAAAGCAACATTGTCACTAACAATTCACTATGTCTTTAGATCGAGCAGTAACTCAACTTTTTTAATTCAGCACCAACTATAATATATGTATTACAATTCCAAGAACTATCTTTAACCATTTTTTTTTCGAAAAATTGTAAAATTTGATTTTGCGAAATTTATTTTGTTTTGACAACCCTATAAGTTAAAATAAAGATAGGGTAAATGTGTACAAGAGTACGCACTTAGTGTAAAACTGTCAACAACTTTTTAATTTTTTTGGATAGACAAATTTTATGATATAGGTTCGTTATATATACATGTTTAGAGATCAGATATATTTAATTGTACGCCCCAACACCACTATGTTTTAAGAGTAATTTCAATTTTTGTCAAGATGTGTAAATGCGCACTCTTAGACAGTTCATTGCACAAGAGTGCGCATTTGAACGCTTATGAGTACGCATTACATTTTATGAAAAAATATTTGTTTCTAAGGTGAAAATAAATGGGAATAAGTGACTACAGACTACACATAAAACGGAAGACCTATTTCTTCGTACTCTAGGGGTCTTGAAAAGACGAGAAAACGTAAAAATAGAGAGTCGGTCGACGGACTCGATTACAACACGCTCAGGAAGTAAAAATAAAAAAAAAATCACCATAACCACCACCACACAACTTGAGAAGCAGTACAAAGTAGTAGAGTTAAATAATTCATTATCGTATGATATGTATCTCCAAGACTATTAGACTACGTATTGCAAGCAATGCGCACTCTTATACAATACCTCGCTGCGCACTCTTGTACATTTGTACATAACCTAATGTTTTCAAAGTTAAAAGCTTTTGATGGACAGAAAGTGTAAAACTGTTAGTGTATAACGACACCTTAAAAGTTACAACTAATGAAAATTATTACTGTAAAATAAAAGAACTGGTACGTACCTTACAAAAAACTAAAACTATGAGCGGTAAAAATTACATCCACACAACGTGTGAACATAAAATCGTCAGTACGACCAAACTATAAACTATATTCAGGTCACTTTTGCACCTTTATCTCAGGTTTAACATTAAATTCTGAATGGTATAACTTCATCTTACCCAGATGGCACTAATAAGCAGAAATCATCAGTGCGTACTCTTATACATATGCGCACTCTTGTACACATTTACCCTATATACCTAGTGTTAAAATAAAGGCACAAAGCATATAGGTGTGTATGTATCAATTGAATTTTTATATTAAAAAAAACATTTTTGCAATACGTCAATTTAGGTAGGTACGGTGTAGTACTTATAATAACAGTACTGCATTCCCAAATTTTCTCCAAAATAGAGTAAGCTTTTCTTGATTTGATAAAAAAATTGCCTTATTCATTAATTAATTTTATCTAGGGTCAAAATCAAAACGGATTCATAAACCGTTACTACAGAAGTAAGTTAATTTATAAAATTAAAAAAAAAAATATTATGCAAAATTTTGAGAAACGTCAACACGTTGTTGGTGGAGATGATTAGACCAAGTTTGATTAACGTTTTACTATCTACAGAAAATTCCCAACACACATACCTATAAAATATACCAACAATCGCTTCAGTAGTTTCGGAGATTTTCCAATGACCTTGGCGGAAAAAATAATGCAAACATTAATTTTTGGATGCTATTTAAGTTGCTATTACATCCAGCTTTTGCAACATTTCAGTATGCGCAGAAATAAGCAGGACAGAAAAAGTCGTTTTATGCAAAAAATCGGTCTAAAATTCCTTCGTTTCTAAAGCAGGCATGTTGAAGCATACTATTATATAAACAATTAATTAGGTAATTATTTTTAATATACGAGTATGTAATAATATCATGAGGTCCTTCTATTTACAAATCTCCGGGAAATCCAGTGATCGTTTTAAAATAACAGAAAAAAATTCGACGAACGTCTTCTGACAAATCCGAAAACTTGAATTGGTGCATACATTCATTATTTTTGGATATCCTCTGTAAGCAGTCGTAAAATCTAAAATCATATTACTTAAATACCAAGAAACCTCACTTCAACACAAGTTCTTCATAAAAATTTGTTTTTGAAATTATTGAGATAGTACATCTAGAAGAATGGATAATTTTAATGTAGACGATATTCTACAATTTCATTTTACAACTTTTATTTTTTCATGGCAACTTGTACGGGTATGGACAAAAATATAGATGACGTATAATATCACAATATAAATTTCAAGTAAAATGCGTTTTACAAAATTTTAAAGTGACTTTTTAAAATTTTTTTATAGAAATAAACAGACAAATTTTAACCAGTGTGTTACGGTTTACACTATGTGGTTAAAATACATATAAAATTTTACAATAATCAGTCTAGTAATTTCAAAAATTATCTGGCTAATAAAAAAGCCAATATGCTAAAGAACACAGACAGATACAGAGAAACGGAAAATCGTAGTCGGATTTGAAACGTATAAAAAACATTAAATTAAACATTCATCAAAATGTCCTTAGATTACTCACGGAAAATTAAAATTGCATTTCCTTTTAAATTTATTATTTCTGATGAATAATGAATAATAAATTACATCATGCGAACTTTCAAAAAACAACGCCTGTGTAACCTCATATTTTAAACCATTAAAATCTCGTTTTACTGTTTTCGAGACCAAAATTACTTAGCTCATCCTTAAAATTATTAGAAAAAATAACTCAAAATAAGTATTCGAAATGTTGACACATCCGCAAATTAAACATTAAAAATTAATTTTAAATCTTAAAAAATTAATATTTTTGCAATATCACCTGCATTAAAAATTTCACAAATTTTACCCCTTTATAAGAAATCAAATAAACAACTCTAAATGTGTCAGCATCTGAGACATTTATCTTCAGTCATTTTTCAGAAACCGAGTCACGTTTTCTACAAAAATCTTTATCTTCCACTGACACTCTATTTCCAAATACATATTTTGATTATAATCTTGAAAATTTTTCCTTCTTTGTGATTCCAACAACTAGTCTAAACACCCTCACATACCACTACCACCACATCACAACACTCTTACCTGATATAAATTAGCCGTACAATCAGCAATCCGCTGCCTTCTCGTTTTCCTTCTCCTGTAGTTGCCTTTTTCAAACATATTTGCAGCCTTAGGATCCAACATCCAGTAGCTCCCTTTCCCGCCGGCTTGCTCCGGGCCTCCGGGAGAAACCTTGTCCCTCGGCACCTTGACGAAACAATCATTCAGACTCAAATTGTGCCTAATCGAATTCTGCCAGCCTTGTTTGTTTTCTCTGTAGTACGGGAAGTTGTCCATGATGAACCTGTATATCCCACTCAGCGTGAGCCTCTCCTTCGGGGAAGAACTGATGGCCATCGCAATGAGAGCTATGTAGGAGTACGGCGGTTTTTCCGGCCTCGGCTGCTGCAGTTTCACCGGAAGCGGGAACCACAAGTGAGGAAAATAAGGGTTGAAGATCCTTTGGCTGACCAGAGGGTTGTACTGATCGCAGTAGCAAGGGTCGTACTGCTGGAGGGAGTACATTTCAGGACCGCAGACGCGTTTATTGACTGAGTGGAAGGACATTGGACTAAATTTCGTCTAATACATCTTAGTTTAAGTCGGGTTCATCCCCACCACCGAACGGAGACGCCCTCCAGTCTGCTGCATCCTGACAAAACATTGGTGTTCGGGCGATATAATATCTGTGACAATTTGTAAACACGGGACGCAATAAATAGGCTTAGTTTGTCGTTAAACACTCTGTAAATAAGTCATGTGTCATCATTAAGGGCTTATTCGTTTGTTGTTTTACACTTTGCTAAATGAGGACGCGGAGCGGTTATTATATTTTGATTGCCGTTTAGGGAGGCGGGTAAACATCGTAAAGAGTTTTTGAAAATGCTTGCGGCGGAGGTGAATTTCCGGTGGGCGGTGTGGGATTTTTCAAACGTGATTCAACAAGGCGGGAGAATTAATTTTTAATGCGGTGTGTTGTAATAAAACTAACGTGTTAATGGGGAAATAAATGCGCATTTTAGCAGGGGACGGCTAGTTTTAAGTTCAAATACGAAAAGAAAGTCCAAGTTCAAGTTGATATTACAGTTCAAATGTTTTATCAAAACATTTTTACAATTTTTGAAGCATCAATGATGAGATGCTAATGAATAGTAATGACTTCAGTAAGCAAGTTATATACTAACATGTTACTAGTCTTTAATCTGCCTAATGAGTGTCATAAATATTCTCAAACTGCACACATTTATCAGCAAGTTTGAGGTTTTTTTGTTTTAATTACATATTTTAGTGATTCATATTACTCTGCATATATCTGTCAGAGAAAGTTGCTTGAACTATTTTTTTTTCTACATGATCTACTTACTTAAATTTTATAAAAATGGATTAAATAAATAAATAATAATATTCAATATTTAAAATATTTCGTACATTATTAAGTAAAAAGTATATTAGTATTACACCTTTAAGTTTTTGATTTTTGAAAAGTTGAAAGAAGCAAGACATGCGAGCATTATTTTAAAAGACATTTTTACGTCATATTAATTAAAAATTGTGTTACCATACTGAGGAGAAAATTACTTTTCAAATAACAATTAGAAAAAAAAACAATAATCTGATGTGATTTTTAAGTAAAATTTAAATTATAGTATATATTCTTCATTGTATTATTTTACATTTAATTAATAATTCTAATAATAATTTTTTACAGTTGTTTAAAGTAAAACGTTCTTCACATGCTGAAATTGAATATATGTAGCACTAAGATAAATTTAGGCTATCGTCACAATTTTAACAAAAGAGAGAAAGTTTCTAGATAACAGCTAATAATCCACAAATAAATCTGTTTATATATTAATTCTTTGTGAAGTATTTTATATCATTAGGATTAAACTTACGGCTTTTAAGTTGGCATCAGTAGGTAATCAAATGAACTGGGTTCTAATAAAATTGTTATTCTAATAAACTGTGGAACACGACGGCCTACAACCATATTTTTTTATTAACAATCTTTGATGAGATAGTTCTATAAAAGCATGTTAATACTTACAGTACCTATATACTTTAATGCGAAAAATGAACAATGTCGAACCCCTTTATTTTAATAAAATTTATTCATAACTCTTTTCGACCATAAATACCAGTCATTATCAACAAAAAAAAACAAAATTTACATTAAAGCTACGCAAAAATTAAGAATTTTGTAATAAAAAAAATATGGAATAGCTCACAATAAGATTTATCGCACTGTGTAAAGTTCACGTTCCTAAGTGGTAACAATCTCTAGAAAAAAATTATTTCAAATTAAATATAAATTGTTATACACGCCCCTGGTGTAGTTTCTTGATCTACCGTAACTACTATGCAATGAATGGTACAGAACGACTAGGATTAAGAATAAAAAAAACGGCGCACTAATAAGCGACCGTGCAAAAACACCATAATGACCAGTCATGTAACAGTTGGTTGCCGTTGTGTTTTCGATTAACGTCTTTGAGAGTGGTGAATTTTTCCAATTCAGAGCGTGTCGACACGGTAATGCTTTATGACATGGCTGAGGGAAACGCCAGGTTATCCTGCAAATTGTGGATCGAACGGTGGTATCTTCAAGCCCCAAACATACGATCGGGGCCGTGATGGGATCGAAAGAATACTGCAAGCTGAAGAACAAATTTTGCAACGCGTCGAAGAAGTGCTTCCATGAATAAATGGTAAACTTGTACCAACATTATCTTAGCCACAGCGATCAGTTTTGGATCTTGTCTTATTTTTGGTATACGTGAACGATTTAGGAGACATAATTAACGCTGCTAACATCTATCAATTTGCTGATGGCACCGCATGCATAATTTATGGCAGAAATCAAACAATTGTCTCTTCACTTGCTTCCTTATCGATTTTCGACATTGTCATCTGGTGCGAAGCAGGAAATCTAATTCTGAATAAAAAGAAAACTGTTGCAGTTGAGTTTAAAAATGGACCACTAACGTCAAACGTATATCTTAAGTTTAATTCATCATCGGTGCCAGGTAAAGTAGTAGAGTAAAAGTTTTTAACATTACAAAATAATACCAACTTTTAATATATTCAAAATTAAACTAAACCATTGAGTATGTACGAGTATTTATAAACTTCAAGATTTTTTAACTTGATCCAAAATAATTTGGTTTTTAGAATCATTGACGAAGTCTATATCTTACACATCTACGCGTCTATTAATAATAATAATAATGTCGGGGAAACACTAAACGCTAACCACTTTGTGTTTGTGTCAGTAGATGGCGTGTGCATACACTAAAACAAATTTTTAAATATTTTATTTCATTATGGTTAATCCTTGGATAAACTAGGAGTGAAACGTATTAACTATACCTCAGATAAATTAAATTCCTTTCCTGCAAAAAATCACTCAAAGGTGACTTACAAAACGTCAAAAAATCAAGTAGGATGTTGCTTCTACGATCCTTGAGTTTTTAGTTAAACTAAATTTAACAGCGTTTTCCAAAACGTGACGGAAAAAGCATTAGATATATTATAATTACATGTAAGTCAGCACGTAAGTACTTATGTAACTTTGGTCCAATTTGTTTTTAAATATATGTATTAGCAGTAATCGCAATTGTGATTTCACTACTTAAATTGTTCCAGTCCTCAAACACTCTGTTGGAAAATAAAAATTGGTTGACAGTACATCAGAACGACTGATTTTTTAAATTAGAAGTATCCCCTTGGTATTTAGTTGAAAAAAATCTTGAATCTGCGGTTATTTCGGTTACAAAAAATTTTGTATATCTACACCAGATCTCCCCTCTTCTGATGATTATCTTCTGTTCTATTACCCAAGAACTTTTTTTTGGTCCTTTTCAAAGTTTTCTAAAGTAATCACAAGAGAAGAAATATTATCTGCATTATATTTATACTAGAAAAGTTTAAGGCAACATCATCTCCAATTCTACGTAACTGTAAATTCTCAGCATACTCCTTTAATATTCTGTTTTAACGGCCAATTTATAGGGTCGCTAGAATGCATGGAAACGGTTAAATATCTTGAGAACTAATTGTACAAGAAGTTGTGCTCTAATTAATCGTCAAAAAATTTTGTTTGCTTCATTTGCTTTCGAACTGCAACGCCAACTTTATTTTTTGAAATGGCACTACCATATAGTTAATACATTTTTGAATACAGCTTTTTTCTCTGAATTCATGGATGTAGCACAGTCATACTTTCTTTCTGACTTAAACGGCAAAATAAATGATTTTAAATAAAAATAAATAAAAAACGAAAGATGACATAGTTACCTTTGAAAATAATTTTGATTTGATATATATCTAAAGTGTTCTTTGCAAAAATGGTGCATTTAAGTGAAACTGTGTGCATATAATTATTAATGATTATCTGTTACGGTAACAAAAGACGAAGTTTTGCTCAATTAGTAAAATTTTTCACAGAGAAGCCATTTCTAAGTCGACGGTTTCAAAATCCCAAGGAAGATTTAATGAAACTGAAAGTGTTAAAAGAACGTCCAAAACCTGGCAGGCCAAAAACTGCTACAAATGATGAAAATGCCCTTAATGTCCTTTTAGACTGCAACAGAAAATCCCATAACATCATTAGCCTTGAATCACAATGTTAGTAGAAAATAAATTTAAACAATAATGAAATCCATTTGGTACAAGAGCTAAACGAAGGTGATTTTGATCGTAGAGTTGAATTTACCGAAATTATTATGAACAGAATAGAACAAGACGGAAATTTTATCACGGGGATTTTGTTTTCTGACTGATGTAGGTAACGTAGGTTTTGTTTAAATGGTCATGTGACCAGACAAAACTACAGGCACTGATCTGACACATATCTACTCCTGTATGGGCAAATCCACACACAGGGTCCAGAAAAACTGAATGTTTAGTATACGGTGTTATTAGTTACCATAGGTTCTTTTTTTATTAATGGAAATTTAAACTAGGGAATTGTTTCCCAATTACCAAAATCCGAAGTTACCAGCAGAAACTATTCGGTTTTAACAAAATGGTGCTCCACCTCATTTTGGAAGTCAAGTGCGACTGTACGTAAATGACACGTTTCCTGGCAAATGGATAGGCCTAGGAGGTACTATTGAGTGGCCTGCCAGGTCACCGGATTTGACACCGCTTGACTTTTTTTATGTGGGGCTATTTGAAGAATCGCGTTTATATCAATAAACAAAAACAAACTTTTATTCAGCGTCTTTTTTACTGCCAGGAAGTTAATGGAGAGCATTTTGAGAATCTTTTGTAGAAAACAAAAGTTTAATTTTGGTTTCGGTTATTATTGCTTAATTATGACCCACCACTGACCCGAAAATGACCGGCATTCAGGCAAGACTTCTATCATTACGGGTACTAAGACCAAGTAATGATATGCATTGATTAGATTAACAGAACAACTTTCGAGATTCTAGAATTACAGCATACAAATTAGTCTGCTATTATTCTCTAATCTCACCCCATCCCCAAAAGTCTAGCGTAACTACCGACAATTTATCCGCGCATCACATGAAAAGTGACCTACACTACTCTGACCTATTGGTGCTAATCTAATCTGACTGACATGATCAGACTGTTCCAGAAACTTACGAACAATATGACATGTTCCTAACAAAACAGCCTTTTGAATTTTGACAATTATTGAATCATTCAAATGCAAATACTTTAAATTCTCAACTAAGCTATTTGGAACTACACCTACATTAGGGGTAGAATTGAAATAGAAGTATAATGTCTGGTCTGTTAGCTGTAATGTTTAAGTCTGTAAGTATTGTGCGATCCCAGTATAATTTGTATTTGTTATTTTCAAGGAACGGAGATGGAATGTAAGTGTAATAGGATGTCGTATCTTCGATTAAGTTCATAAGTGTTGCTAATTCTTTGTGGATGATTTTGGCGACGTTGTCGTGTCTAACTTTGTAGTCAGTTTGTGCTAGGATGCTGCAGGAAGAGATTATGTGCTGGATCGTTTCAGGTTTTGCTTTGCAGAGACGACAGCAGTCGTTTCTTATGTTCGGATCTTTGATGATGTATTTTCTGTAATTCTTGGTATTGATTACTTGGTCTTGAATAGCAAACACAAATCCTTCTGTTTCGGCATACAAACTTGCTTTTTTTAACCAAATCAATGACATCTTCTTATTGACATGAGTTTCTTCTAAGTCTTTGTAGAATTTTCCATGTAGTTGTTTTTGTTTTACCCCCCTTATTATTTTGTCTACTGTGTGGGGAGTGTGGATATCTTCGGTGTTCGACAGATTTAAGGGTGTGTGGTTCAAACCTGCTCTTGTGATGGTGCGAAACATTTCATTCCTTTCTTATTTATTGTTGAATATTAATTAAAATGAATGATTATTAATTTATTTACTTATTGTTTAATAATTTATTTTGCCATTTCAATCAGAAAGAATGATTGTGCTATATCAATGAAAAAGCTATATTCAAAAATGCATTAATTATATGGTCATGACATTTAAAAAAAATCAAGTTGGCCTTACATCCTGAAAACAAATGAAGCAAAAAAAAATTTTTGGCGAATAATTAGAGCACAACTTCTTATACACCTATATCTAATTTCAGTATATTTTTATTTGCATGTGATCAATAAGGCAGCAAAATGAAGATCTGAATAAGTAATCATTTTTTAAACTCCATTAGAAAAATTTAATCACCAAAAAAAAAAATTTTCTTATACAATAAAATAATTATATATATTAATTTACGTTAAAAAAAAATAAAAAAGCTATTTGTAATTTTATCTTGTAATGGAAATCTATTCAAATTAGCAACCTTAAATGGTAACGAAATTACTAGTTCGAAACATGAGAACGATTACCGAATTGTTACCTCTTCTCTACATTTTGTTCTTTCGCAGTTTTTTGGCCTTGGGGTTAAAAATTTCAGAAATTACGACTGAAGATTTCTAAATTAAAAATTTCTGTATTAACCAACAAAATGGCGGAGGACTTCTTAAAATAATGATGGGTATAATTTTCAGGGTGTTTTGGTTTTAAAAACTCTGCACTTTTATGATTGAAATTGTCAAGTGCACTTTCCACTTCTGTAATCCATGAAAAATCATTGACTGTGTACCCGGACGATCTTAATGATGCATAATTTGTAAACCAATCACTTCTAACGTTACCATAACAAATTCCCCTTCATCCGTAACATTATCTAGGACTAGATCAACAAGCTTTTCACGGAAGTATGCAGCAAAAATCTGTAACAATAAAGTTACTTTATTGGTAGAAATAACACAAAAAAAACTTGGTTTTACTTATCAAGCCTCTGACAAAACAACACGTTTTTCAGCTGGTATTTTGTCCTGAAAAATTAAATCTTTTCATGTACAAAAAAAAAATTTGAAATCAAAACAGTTCAACTGTGACATTTTGATACTTACCTACGTAAAAAAATCAACATTTTCAGTTAATTTTAAATACGCCACCAATATATATTCACTAACACTTTCTACCTCTTTGCTTTTACACCAAAAAGAAAAATCTTGTATATCATCAGATATATCTTCAGGAACTCTGACCAAAATAGAGCTTCAATCTTCCATCACGAAAATCCGAAAATGAACAGTTTTTGTCTGTAAGGATAATAATCATTTCTTCTACCATAATATGGACACTCACGCTAGTTACTTGTTTTATGAATTTTTATTCAAATTGTCATATCCTAAACCCAAAACGTGGCTATTTTTGTAGTGAAAACTATTGAACAACGTTCGACGGATATTGCTTACAAGGCTTATAACAGATCAGATAATTTATTGCCGGCAGCGTAATAAGCTTGATATCGGCTTTACGTCGTTAATAACTATTAAGTCCGTCGGTAAATACAATAAATAATCTACTCGAAAAAAAAACATACAGGATGAAGATTACTATTGAAATACCTTTTGAGAAAACACAATAGGTATACTAGCCTGAAGACCGGGATATAGTATATTAATTAATTAATCAATCAATTATTAGTTAATTCAAATTAAATATTAATGTGCGACTAACCAGCGAATCTGAGCATTTGATTAGTGCAATTTCATCACGAGGTCGATTAAATTAATCCCGTTATTAAAAGCTTCTGTAGACCAGGTTTAAAATATTACTGCCTCGTTTGATAAGCCAGTGAATAAATCAAACGATCATCCTAAAAATTGTCAAGTCGAATTTTCTACTTTTAAACGAAATTTCGAAATAAATAAAACTTCGAACTAATAAGAAAGTAAAACTCGAAATTTCGACGGTACCTAATATTGCAATGAAGTTTCGACTTCACAAAGTCATTTTCAACAAGACGTTCACTCAGCATTTTTGGAGCCCAAAAAATATGTATTCTATACTCATACAACAATAATGACAATTATAGAGTTTAAAGAATTCACATTTAAACCCTATAGTTCTTTCTCAGGGGCAGGTGAAGGAAGTAATAGGGTTCATTGAATGAGTGGCTACTTTCAAGTTTTCTCGACGTTTCATGAATCCTAGAGTACGAAAAAATAGGTTTCCCGTTTCCGATTGTATGCATGTCGTCTGTCTATGTCGATTTATATTATATAGATGATGCTTGAAACTACTGGACCGAAAACTTGCCTAAGCATCTCCACCAATAATTTGATGACGTCCCCTCATCATTTTGCGTAGTAAAGGTTATCTAAATTTTATAAAATAACGTACTCCTGTCCTCGTGGTTTATGAATCCGCCTTGAATTTTATCACAATTACTTTACAAATTTTGTTTGTGCAATATATTTCAGCATTTTTTTTTAAGATTACGCATCAAATATCTCGTGACTGAGTGCGTTAGGAGGCGGATTGTCGTATACGTTCGAATCCTATCCTTATCAAATATTTTTTACATTGTGACGAGAGTTATCTATATTTTTGTTCGTTATAGCGTTTATCATAAAATACATAACATTTTGCAAAATAAAATTTTATAATTTTTCAAAAGACTAGATTTCTTCGAATGTATTTAAGGAGCGAGGAAAGTTCTGTCTAAATAACCTTTGACCAATTGTTCCATAAACTATGAATACCTTTGTTTTGATCACTTGAAAAACATTAAATTGAAAATAGGCACAAATTGTTCAGCCCCAGATAAAAAAAAAGTGTTAAAAATTTCTAGTCCGTGCTTTACCATTTTGTTGTTAATTGTTATTAATTTTACAATAAGTCGAACATTTCAAGGTAATTAATGCAATAGTTTCCACGATTGTCTATATAACAATATCTTCAACAGATAGGCGGAAACCAGAAAGCGATATTTTCGTATCCTACAAACTGTGATATGTTAAAAAACATGCAAATAATTCAAAATAACCCAATTAAAATACGCCCTTTAGCAGAAACTCTGGAAGTAAAAATTGTTTCTATTCACGGCTTTGAAAAATTAGAATTTTAAATTCTAATTTTTTATTGATATAAGTTTAAATAAAAAAACTATTTATAAATAAAATTATTCACGGGAGACCCCTTTAGTACAAATTACAAAATCAAAACATCATCACAAACTATGATAGACATAAAATAAACGATAAAATTACAAGAACACTAAACTCCAAATTACATTATTACATTAAATGGATAAATTCTGACATAACTTCCCTCGTCCCTGAAGTACAGTACAATATATCCGTTTTTTTCGAAAAATTATAAAATATGATTTCCGAAATTATATTTTTTTATAATAACTCCTATAAGTTAAAATAACAGATGTTCAGTTGAAAAAAATCATCAAGTTGGCGTTGCTTTTTTGATAAAAAAAAACGTAGCGAACACGCATGTGTTTAATAATAATTAACATTAATAAATGTATACTGCGCTATATAATTGACATTGCCGCGTTGTCAGTTGTCATCGATTAAATTTTAGATTTATTGTAGATATACTTGAATGTTAACAAAAATCAATGTCAACTTGTAAGTAACAAGTAAAGAAGCATGCTATCCATATGGTTCAAGAGAGTTTTCCCATTAAAAAAATGTATGATGACGTCGATAACATTGTAGCAAAGAGACGTATATTAATTTGGAAAGGTGCAGTGAGATAAAATATGATCAAAAACATTCCTCTAGTGACTCATGAAATTTATTTTTAAAATAATTGTTGGCATCTCGGGTATTTGACACTACGTTATTTCACCTAACTGTCAAACTAAACACCGTTATTTTAAAAATAAATTTCATGGCCTACTAGAGGACTTTTTTTTCGATCATACGATACTAATAATATAACAGTACCATACTAGTAGACTCCAATTTTCGGGAAATTGGAGTGTGCCTTTCTTTATTTGATTAATAAAATAAATTGCCTAATTAATTTTGTCAAATACCTACAGCCTTTATAATATTTTGCACCTTTTAAACAGGATTTTTTCGGCATAATTTTGAGATGAGGTCATCAATTTTTTAAGAAGAGATAAATTTTGATTAACGATCTTCCATGCTTCCGATAACCTTAAAACGTTTTCAAAGCATTCGGTTTTGTTTCAAAGTTAAATTGTAAAATGTTATAATACAATTTTGATTTTTTTCCAAAAATCTGGATTTCTAGAGTGAAAAATCATGACAAGTTCAGGAGTGTATTATTTTCTAAAATTTAAATAAGATTTCCATAGAAGAGTACAATTTTAATTTTGTATTTTTGCATGAAAGGGTTTGTCTTATTTACCTTATCTATATTTTTTTTTTTACTTAATACATATTTTTAGTTCCTTTTTTCCACAAACAGTCTTGTAACAGAAGCATGCTAAAATGTACTACATTTCTTTGCACAATAAACGTATTATTATTATCACAATTATAATTTAACCTAAACTGATTGACTGGCACACGCAGCCAATTTTTAAACAATTTTGAAAAAAATGTCGGAAGAGCATCCAACGAAGCATTTTTAGCGAATTACCGACAGGAAGCGTCAGATTTCCTGCGGCATTTCTCGCCTCTTGAGTGTTTCGCTTTTATAAGTAACATACTGTAACGACAAGTAACAAAATACCATCACATTACGGTTGTCAGCAAAAGCTACTAACCGCGTGCGTGTGTGGTCCAAGAACAAAATAATAACAACGTACGGCCCGATGAATTATTTGTGCTGTTTTGCGGCTCAAAGAGACACAAATAAATTTTGTAAATTTATATTTTACGGTTGTTAACAGGAACGCAACACATGTTTACGGACGACGGAACGAAAAAAAATATGTTTTTTTAAATATCCACGAACGAGCTAGAAATGCATTAATACTGTTTTATGAACGACGAATAAATGTCAGCCAAAGAAATACTGCTATTTACACAAATACATCGGAAACGCGGTAAATTACTGTAAATAATATAAAAAGATTTGTGGGGGTGTTTTCTAAATAAAACACAGCGAGAAACTTCAAACAAAATTTTATTTGGACGATCCGATTAAAATCGAAAATGTTTCGCTGCTGGAATGAGGTTATGGACATGAAAAACAGGAAAATATTTTTATTTGGTGCATGATGTTTACGAAGCGGCGTTGCATAATGAAGAAAATAGACGTTCTTATGTTAACGTACACCTTTTTGTCGAAGGCGGATAAGTCCTTAATTGTAGCTGAAAATACATAATGAAGTGTAAAATTTAACGAGTTGATACAAGCCTTTGTCGCATTATTGTTCAATATTTTAATGAAGTGTTCCCTTCGCAACAAAACGAGGAGTTAAAATTGTCCCGCTAACCAATCAAAACCTTCGTAAAGACCTTTTCCAGTCAAGCCACAACACCCCTGAATTTTCCACTGCAATAAAACTGGTAATTTAACATCGGAATAAAATGTAGAATGATTCTATTTATTTCAATCGGTGTTTATTAAACACATTAGAACGATATTTCTTGCAAAAATATATAAATAAAACATTATACACTAGCTAGTTTTTTTTTAAATCTAAATTCACTATCTCAACTGTCACAACATAAAACAAACAGAACTCTCTGCTTACCGGGCGTTCAGCCAACATCTTATTTTCATTCAGCTTTAAAATTTCACCAATTTCAGCAACTGTCATACATCCAGGAAGATCCTGCTTATTCGCGTATATGAGCAATGGCGCACTTCTGTAAGAGTCATTCATCAACTGAAAGCAGACAAAACAAACATTTTTAAATCAGACTTCTGTTAGAATAAGAATACCAAGTTATGAATGATAACAAGAATCCACTCGAGTCTCTCCGTATCAGTCGAATCAATTACCAAAATTAAAGCTCGTACATCTTGGTGATTTACTTTTGAATGCATTTCCTGTAATTTGTCTGAACCAGAAATATCTTCGATTGAGAAAGTTAGGTTTTTGTGTTGTATGGTTTCAAAGTTAGTGCCAATTGTGGGAATGCCGTGGGTTGTGACGATTTCGTTTAATTTTATTCTGTACAGGATTGTTGTTTTTCCGGAGGACAAGAAACCAACTAAAATCGATTAGTATAATATTTGTGAAACTTAAATTTGAAGTAATTACACATTAATGTCTTTATAGGTACTGTGCGACAGAAATAAGGTGTCGACCGTGAAGCTCCCATTGCTGCTTAGTTTCTGAAGTACGAAAAAAAAACTTAAAAGAGTTCAAGTGTTGGTAAGAATTTTATTTCGTTCGCCTCAGACATTAAAGGAAATGAAAACGATGAAAATTATTAAACACTACTTATAAAAAAAATTGAAATGCTATTAAATCGTAAACCGTAAAAAGACTCGACACGATTTATGCAAAACGTTTTTCTTTACTATTAAATACTGATACTGATTTCACAACCATAATCACTAAAAAAAACAATCTTAAATTAGCACTTATCTGTTAAATCAGCACTTACTTAATTACAAATTAACTTAAACTGCCGCAACATTTCAAAAACAAATGTCAGAAGCGATTATCTGCTCTCGTCCTTCTGACAAAATATCTTCACAACTTTATCTTATCTGGCCGTCTCTGGCTCTACTTACTATCTTTTAATGCTCGGTTCTTAGTAATACATACTTCATAATATTTTTTATCTAGTGGCAGTTTAGTGTTCCTAGTTTTTCATCGTCTTGTTCCTAGAAACGATAAATTTCGAACAACTGCGAATAGCACGAGAAAAACTATACTAAGAAAACTGCACTGCAATTTTTTACGGCGAAGTTAAACGTTAAATGACTTAGGTTTTTTATTGTTATTATCTCTGATGTCTTACCCAAACGGTGGCTTTGGTAAAAAAGTTCTGTACTTGAATCAGCAAAAAAGTTTAAATAATTTTAAGACAGGAACACATTACATCTCGTTAAAAGTGGGTCTACGTACTACTGCTGCTACCCTACATCATCAATATTTTAGCAAGGATACGTATAACAATTTGGATAGGTACAGTGTAATAGTAATAATAACAGTACTGTATTTCCAAATTTTCGGGAAAATGGAGTGAGGCCTTCTTGACTTGATCAATAAAATAAATTGCCTCATTAATTAATGTTTTTGGGTCACCTGTATAAGCAATTCAAGAATATAGATTCGACAAAATTTTGAGATGAGGTCATTAATTTTTTGTGGGGATAAACGGATAAACTTTGATTAACGATTTACCATATTGACCACAAGTTAAATTGTAAAATGTTGTACAATTTTGAACATCGAGACACATGAAAGTAGGCTTTCATCAGATGGACCAGATTACACACTTCCTTAATTTACGTTCGGGAAATAAAAAAGTTATTGTCTAAAAAAAGAATAATTTTAACAAAATCATTAAGCTACTTTAGTTCTAAAAGGAAAGCTGTAAGATATCAAACTGAAAAATTTAAAATATTGTCACGAATTAAAATCAGAAGGTTTCTTGGAAAAAACGACAGGTTAAAATTGAACGGGCATCACGACAATTTTTGCTTAATATTTTTGTAAAGTTTTCTGGGTTTGTCAAGTTTATTACTGTCCCTGTGTTTAATTGATAAAAATGCCAGTTTGTTGAAAATAAGAATAAAATACAATTTTTTATAAAAAAACTAGTAAACTTAGCAGCTTACCTTTGCTTGCTCAAACTTAGAGAATATACAAGTCACTGTTTAAGAAGCAGTTTTCCAACTTTGCTAGTGAGCGCCTTAAAAACATAACATAATAAAGCATGTCTGAGTAAATTAAAAATCATGTCACGACTGCTAAAGGACTCTAAACCAGACGAAAACGAATAATTAGACGACTAAAAATACACTGACCGGCAAAAAAAACAGCCACCATGAAATATTTCGGAAAACGATTTTAAAAATTATTAATTTAACTAGTGATTGTTATTTTATTAAAGAACTACTCACTGCTGATACAGGATGTACAAATTGGTCCAGAAAAGTAGGCAAATAAATTTAGTTTTTTAGAATTAAATTTAGTTAGAGAAAGTAACAGAAAAAGTGCAATATTTCAGGGTGATCGGTTTTTTTGCCGGTCAGTATACGTCTGTTCTAGATAAGATTGCATTATTATTATGGTATAAATATTTTAAACACCCAAATATTACGTTTAAATAAAATTTACTATTGTAAATTTTCGAGATGACGTGATGTCATTAATAGTATGGATGATACAACATACATATAATATTTGATACCAATGGGTCCGGTAATTTCGAAGATTATCTGCCTAACAAAAATCGACACAGACAGACAGACGACAGAAAACAAACAGGCGGCAGGTGGACAAAAATGGGAGACCTATTTTTTCATACTCTAGGGGTCATGAAACGTCGAGAAAATAAGATAGTAGCCAAACACCCAAAGAACTCGATTACAATACGTCTTTAGCTTACGTTCGGGAAATAAAAAGACGCAATAAAGTTCGAAATGCTTGAACATCCCCCTTATTCGCCGGACCTGGTTCCATCCCAGTATTACTTGTTCCCTCAAATGAAAAAAGTTTGAAAGAATATACATTTTCGTCGGACCAAGAAATAATGAAAGCCGTGGAAAGATGATTTGCAGAATCATTTTAAAGAGGTTTACAAAAGTCGCAGGAACGCTGTAACCAGTGTATAACTGAAGAATTTATCAAAATACGATTAAAAGAATTGTTCGATAAATTGTCAGTAGCATTTCGTTAACATTTAGAAAAAGGCCATTTGCTTTAAATAAAAGATTAAAAATTATAAACACTTTGCAGGAATGAAAAGAGATTGCAAACCATCTATTTACAAATATTTTGTCTCACAAAAATTGTTTTAACAAAACGAAAGCTTGGCGAAAAGCCAATATGAAGAAACATTGCTTACAAATCAGTTTAGGCAATATTATTATTAATTTATTTATTTATTTTATTTAAACGGTGTAAAACTTCACTTTGCAACTAAAAATACAAAAAGTGAAAGTGCGCATATGACTCTAACTTTACATTAATGAAAACTAAAAATTTGAAGGTTACAATAAATATTTTTGATCATACGTGCGATCCTTACCACAACTCGATTTTTATTTGATTTTATCGAACAATCTAAATCCACTTAATACCTTCTACTGGTACAATTTTTTAATTAACTCTTTCAAATATATATATTATTTAAGGTATTTAAACTGTTTACAGCCAGTGAATAACACTCGATAACCTTTATTTTTCAAAAAAATCCAGGAAAAGTCCTTTTATACATAGTTTCCCCAGTTCTAATTCAATTTTATGATAGCGCCCCACTGTGTAAAAGTTAACTTACTTAACAATAGATTACTACTGCCGGTGATGGGTGATTAATAAGGATTTAACCGTGACGTAAGCATTATACAGTATAGTGGTTAAATCCTTAATTATGACTGCCCTATCACTACCAGTAGTAATCTATTGTTAAGGAAGTTAACTTTTACATATCATAAAACCGAATTAAAACTGGGGAAACTATACCCGTATGGGCAAACAGGTATCCATTTGTAATTTAAACTTTACTATTAAGCTCGCGCTAGCAAAATACCATTGAAGGCGATAAGCTTTTTCTTGACTTATTTAGGTTTCCTAATTTAAACTTAAACTCAGCCAATGAACATTTAACTTAAGAACTGAGAGAAAATTAGAAAATGTCTTGGTTAAGTTTTATTGGAATGTTCTTGTGCTGAGTATAGATTTCTTCAACTTTTAGTCGAAGTTGTAAACATTATAGGACATACTACCCTTTCAAAACAAAATTTGCCTGCAAATAATTTTTGTCTGAGTTTGTATTAAAGAAAATACGTTTTCATCAAATTCAGTAATTAAGTATGACTGCAAATGAAAGTATACTTATCAATAAGTTATGTTTTGTATTTATTTACAACTTACAACATAAAATTAACAAATAACTGTTTGTAGTGGTATATGTTAACACTATGTGTACGAGGGTAATTTGATAAATTCTTAGCATAAGTACCTACTTTCCACTGCACAAAACAAATTTTTAGTACAAACAACTTATTAGAAATGTTACTGTCAAATTTGACTTCGAAAGGTTCAAGCATTGCTGTGCACGAGAATTTTGGAAAAGTCAAGTGTAGTGAAAATGTGGAAATCATTAAAATTGAATATAGATCAATTATTAAGTACCTTTGTTTAAAGGGGTTAACGGGTAAAGAAATTTACCATGATATGAATAAAACACTTGGTGAAGTTTGTCCTTCTTACGCCACTGTACAAAATTGGGTTGCTTCTTTCAGTAGAGGAAAAGTTTCGGTTGAAGATGACGATAGATCAGGAAAACCGATTTCGGTATCCATTCGTGAAAATGTTGACGCAGTGCCCGATATGATTTTGTCAGATCGTCGAAATTCCAGAAAACAGATACCTCAGACACTAAAGATTTCCTGTGAACGTGTGCATCGTATTATTCACGCCGATTTGGACATGAAAAAAAATTCCGCAAAATGGATTCCAAAATGCTTGAATGCGAGCAAGAGTGGAAATTTCGCGCTCTTTGTGTGCCCTTTTTGATGAGGACCCTGACTTTTTAAACCGTGTTATTACCATGGATGAAACTTGGATGTACGATCCAGAAACAAATCAACAGTCCATAGAATGGAAACATTTTGGTTCCTCAAGGCTCAGGAAGTTTCGAGAGCAAAAATCTGCCAGAAAAGTACTTGCTTCAGTTTTTTGAGATTCGCGTGAGATAATTATGGTTGATTATCTACAAAAAGGCGAATCCATGACAGGAGAATACTACTCAAGCTTATTAACAACGACCGACCTCCCTCGGGATTATTATCTGTTTCCTCAATTAAAAAAAAACTTAAAAGGCCATACATTTTCTTCACACAACGAGATACTAGAAGCTGTGGAGACTTGTTTTGAAGGGCGGGAAGAATAATTTTTTTAAGAGAGTTAGAAAAGTTGCAGGATCGCTGTAACAAGTGTATAGCTTTGAAAAGGGACTACGTTGAATACAAAAATATTTTGATTTTCATATTGTTTTTTCTTGTATGGTAGACTTAGGCTAAGAACTTATCAAATTACCTTTGTATATACGTAAAAATATGTACAACCTCACTTTTATGTTGTGTCAAAATCAATACAAAATCAGTACCATAGATACAAACATTCAGATTGTCAGCTGTACGAGATTTATGTGAGCATGACGGTATGTAAAAATTATTCAGTACCTATTTAGTATTACTTAAATGAATTAAATAAATTGACTGGAAACCTGACCTCAACTAATAAAAAAATCTCACGATAGTTACCAAATCAAAACTAAAAGAAATCAATAAAACGAATTGTTCATTCTTTCTTTTTCGAACTTAAATTCTCAAGGATACATAGAACTATAGCCGTAATTAATTAAAATCTCATACAAATACGTAATTTTTTTACGTATTTATCACTTTTAAAGCAGTAGAAGAAAATGATGCTGTTTTTTAGACAGAACTTCTTTCGGTCCTGAAATACGGGTGTTGGTCATTTGCGCACCGCGGTTAGTTTACCCCATGTAACTGGT